TCACAGATTTGTAGCAAAACAAATTTAGTTTGTTTCCTAAGCATGCTTAATATGGTTCACTAATGGAAAACCAGGAGGAGAGAGTGAGAGTGTAAAGCTAGATCCTTAAGAGTTAAGCTGTGAGCACATTGTGATGAAGCTTTGTTTGCTTGCCTTATCAAATGTTCTTCAGCAGTTAAACATATACAGTCAAAGGGACGTTCATAAAATAGTTAGCTAATGCTGGTAAACTGTAAAAACAGCAGGAGCACCCCATGACTGATTTCTACCTACTGCAGAAGGAAAAAATACAGAACTGTTAAGCTTCTCTTCTTCAGTAAAGAATTTAATTTCACTATAAAATTAGAGAAAGCCTATTACAAACAACAACAAAGACGACTGATGCTACTAATGCAATAGTAGCATTTTTATGCTACTAATCTATGCAAAATCTAGAGAATTTAGAACTGAGATTCTGCATCAGTCCCTTAGCTCCTCAACTATTTTTTAAATAATAAAATCGTATTTCATGGGCCTTTCTTAGGAAATGTTTATCCAATTTCTTTACGAAAGAGCCATAAAAACAGCAGTTACAGCAGATTAACTGCTGTATGACTGCCACGGCAACAATGAACATGACTAAGCATAAGGTATTGGACAGTGCACAGGTAAACACACTGATAAAAGTGTAGAGGAAATTGTTATGTTCCCCCCAGATCTTTCCGATTGTCTGATTCTAGGTACCTCTAATACTAGGAAAGAGAGCAATAAATAGAAATGCGTGGACAGGGTCCCTCAAATAGCACTTCGTACTATACAGGCCTGAGACCATAAAGAGCAGGCAGGGCTCTGCTGTGGATTTTTTCAACGTGTGGTATGGCCGCTCGCACTCCTAGTACAAACACTTCAGTGGTATGGTGGTGTATGGCCAACGTATAAGGTATCCGTTAACATAGCACTTTATGATCTTTGCTGTAAGGGTTTGGGGAGAGAAAGAAGAAAAGTCTGACATGCACAACTGTTGTAATCCCCCATGATTCAGCATACAGAAACGCCCCGACGACGCTAGCAGCTGAGTGCTGACAGCTGGAGGGCAGGGACACCTCAGGATGTTAGTGTTCACAGCATTTTCTTCAACAACTTGAAAATAACTGCAGAAGAAGAATTTGTTTGGAATTGTATCTGAATGGCCTTCTGACCTCCTGCCTAGCAGTTCCCTCAACAGGCTGGACAGGCTGCAAACGTGACATTGGCCACAATTTCAAAAGCAACTGTTTTGACAACAAAACCATCATGAGGAGCTGCCTCCTCGTATACACGCATTCCAGCCCCTGCTCTGGCCCCCTCCTCACTCTGTTGTGTTGGTATGACCGGCTGTGTGGTGGTGCAATAAACTGATCAGGTTAAAAATTACCATCGCTTTTTCTTCCCTGAGTTACTTTTAGCAGAGATGAGTTCTCTGATCTTGATGGTTGGGTGGTTGCACAGAGAGGTGAGCGAACACACCTAAGTGGACGATAAGACATAGGAAAAAGACAGTTGGCTGCCCCAGAAGCGGGGGCAGCAAGTACTTGGGCTGGCACTGCCGCCGTAGCAGTTTGTGAGACTGCCTCCTTACTTTACACAGCGTCAGTTACAACAGCCTACGGTGTGCGCGGGCCTCGGGTGGAAGGGGGCCAGCTGGACAAGTGGCCTCCCCAGTTCAAAATCTTCGTTTCAAACTAGTTTAGTTTGTTGACTAAATGGTTTTATATGTACTTTTGTCTTAATATTGTTATGTTGGGGGGGAATAGAGACTGTGTTATTTAAAAATGTGTGATATGTTATCATAGTAATATATATATTTATATATGTATAGGAAATGCATTATTTAATACAGCATATTATGCTTGTATCTTGCTAACATTTTATAGGAAGAAAAGATGTTAGTTTACACTCTGGGAAAAATAAATTTTCTATACACTGTAACCATAGAAAAAAATCAAAGATAATTCATTGGTATATATGATAGAAGAACACTGAGAAGAGGGTAACTCAGACGCAGTTTTGTGGCAGAATAGATGGTGATGAAACAATGGCTTTAAGACACGCTTTCCCGCTTTGAATCTCATTTCTAGCTTGTAATTATATTAGGCTGTTCATCAGATTCTGCAAATTCATGTGCCTATACTCTCAGGACCATTTTAACATCAAACATGTCATCTGCTTTTTCAATCAAGCATTACCATCATCTTTTTTCGGGCTTGTTTCTGCCAGATTTTCTACAGCCAGTACAATGTTGAGGAGGTGTATCACATCGCTCATGCAGACAACCCAGTGGTATTGCAGAATTACAGTCTCTGTATTCCAAGCTCCCCTGGCAATAGTATAAATGGGAGATTTTTACTGATAGCCCTGGAAACTGTACTGAATCTGCAGCCGGTATGACTGCAGGCCAAACACGTCAGCAGACACTTGGCTGCCACTGAATGAGCATGACTAGCTATTCCAGTTTCATCTTCTGCTTAATAAGCCTTCTCAGGCAGTGGGAAGCACTGCCAACAGATTTTTCTAGTGCACCGCTTCGCCTAAAGGAAGGGTGAACTACAAAAACAACTCCTGACAAATACTTGTCCAGCTAGTTCTTAATACCTCGCAGCAGTATTTCACAACCTTCCAATGAAATGTAGTCCAGTGATAGTTTCACCTGAATATTCTTCTAGACATTTATGAACAACCTTATCATTCTGCTACCTTGAAATCTTGAGAGCGAAAAATAGAATTGCCTTCAGACCATACCGTTTTTTCTATAACAACACACCCCCGACACACACACATTTCATGCAGCTCATACTTCCCCAGCTTCACTGAGCACCTGTGCTTTGGGATGAAATTTGGCATTCTGAATTTCAGTCTCAAAAGACAACTTACTGTAAATCCAAAGGCTATCACAGGAACCAAATAAGACAAGAAAACAGAATAAATCAAACTTGAAATGACTCACCACTGAAATATGTGCTGAGTTTATACGTGGTCATCCTGCATTCAGCAAATGGCTGTAAGTAATAATTACAAAAAAATAAATACAGTGAATTTCTGCAGGAGTTCAGTTAGTATCGCTAAAGTGTAGACAAGCATTGAATGAAGGAGGCAGAAACTGCTGCGGTTCGCCAGCAGATTACAGCAGGATTGTCCGCTGGGGAGGTTAGAAGAGAGTGTTTGAGCTGAAAATGCTGAGAATGATTACATACGGAAAATATGTTATCGCTCCGAGAAGCCATTTCTGAGGTAACAGCAAATTGGAGTTTTCAGTTTACATGTTTTCAAACTGTTAGGAGTAACTGTAACAATTCTTTCAGTGTTTTCTCTACAAATTGCAGCAACCCGTAATGCTGTTTCCACTTTTCTTGCGAGATTCATCTTTTCTTTCATGAATTCCTCCTTCTGACCAAAGCAATGCTACATTCTCTCAAAGAAGTCTTCAGCTACATTTATGTAAACGTCTGAGTGCCAGTGTCAGGTACCAAAACTGTCTCCAGCTTTTTGTGTCGGGGCTCAAACTCTCATTTTCTTGTAGAAACACTACTGTCACAGGGGAGGGTACTCTGCTCTCCTTTCTTGCCATTCAGGTTAGGAGACTCCTCTTACACTTCTATTTGTTCTGGGAACTGTTGCCTTTTTTTTGTTGTTCCCTAAGCAACAGTTTCACTCCCCGTGAGGGAAATGTACTCTTTATTCTGAAAGAGATGCTTTTCTATGACGCGTTTAAGTCACAGGAGCACAGCGCTTCCATTGCAAGATAAAATATCTGGTTTCAGGTATGCTGTCTTCTCCCTGGCCAAAGACTTAGGCCAGGCTGGCTCCACACAGTATGAGCACGGCCATCCTTTTAAGGACACTTTTCTCTTCACGCTACACAAGTAACAACCAATGTTACCTAACAGCTGTCATAGGATTTGACAGATGCACCCAATATTGCTACAGCAAAAATGAGATAGTGTTACAGAAACACCAAGTGTTACCATAATGTACAATCTCATTAAGAATAGTCTGCTCCTGCTTTTC